CTTTAAACTCTGACAGCATCGCCTTTCCTAACGTACTTTTCTCCAATGTTCATTTCTGTACATGTTCTTGTTCTGTAAGTGTTCAGAGAGAAGCTATTATCACATCTGAAATGTCAATGTGCCTTGTACTTTGTTGAATGTAAAAGCAGAATTTTAATAACGTACTATGTGCAATGAAAAGCAAAACCCCAGCAATTCTTAACACCCTTTTTTATTTCTTCAATCCTTACCTGAGGATATGTTGATTGATTTTAGAGAGACAGGAAGGGACACACACACAGAGAAACATTGATGTGAGAGAGAAATGCCCCAACCAGGGATTAAACCTGCAACCCAGGAATGTGCCCTGACCAGGAGTGGAACCCACAACTTTTCCATGTATGGGATGATACCCCAACCAACTGAACCACACTGGCAATTCTTAATCTTTCAGAGCATCAGCCACCTTGAGAACCTCCTGAAAGCTGTGGACTTTCTTCCTTTTTCATACTGCACAAATACAATTTTTAAAAAACATATTTTATTGATTTTTTTACAGAGAGGAAGGGAGAGAGATAGAGAGCTAGAAACGTCGATGAGAGAGAAACATCGACCAGCTGCCTCCTGCACACCCGCTACCGGGGATGTGCCTGCAACCAAGGTACATGCCCTTGACCGGAATCGAACCCGGGACCTTTCAGTCCGCAGACTGATGCTCTACCACTGAGCCAAACCCGTTTCGGCTGCACATATACAATTTTTAATTCAGAGGATGCCATAAGCCTTTAAGAGATCCAAGGGCCCCACTTAATCATCCTTGGCACATGAAACACCAAGAGCCAATCTGTTCTTCAACAGAAGAAAACAGGAATGGAAGAGGGCATCCAAGTTCAAGTTTCTATCAAGCTAGGCTACCATCCACACTGGAGCAAAAGACAAGAACCAGGGATACACTGTCCACTCTCCCCCACGCTTCTCCCCCCCCCCCCCAACCAATAAAACCAGCTGATCAAACAAAGCAGAAGGGCTTCCCTGCCCCAGCCTGTGTCCATCAGCCCTGCCCACACATAGTCTCCCAACCATGCTTTGAATGCCTCATTCTTAACTATAATGGACAACTACATAAAAATTGGGGAAGGCCTGCCACACCAGAGACATAAGTTAAAAGAAAAAATGATCTTGGAAGAAATATAAATACCAGTAACAGAATAAATTTCCAGTAGGTTTCCTCAGAAATATTTGATGAAAACAGAGTGCATTAAAAAACAAGTGAAAGTGTTTTCTTCCCATCCCCTCCACCAGCCTCCCCTCTGAGCCAAGCATTCACGCCTCTGGACCTATTTTTGCTCATTAGATCCCGCATATAACTGAGATCATGTGATATTTGTCTCTCTCTGACTGGCTTATTTTGCTTAGCATAATGCTCTCCAGGTCCCTCCATGATGTCACATGGGGAAAGAGACCTTTTTTTTTTTTTTTTTTTTTTTACAGTTGGGAAGTATTCCATTGTGTAAATTTTTAAAATCCACTCATCTACTGATGAGGCACAGATCTTAGCTATTTATTTTTATATGTCTTTTATTGGTTCAAGAGAAAAGGAGAGGGAGAGAGACAGAAACATCAATGCTGAGAGAGAATCATTGTCAGCTGCCTCCTGCATGCCCTCCACTGGTGATCAAGCCTGCAACCCTGGCATGTGCCCTGACCAGGAACTGAACCATGACCTTCTAGTTCTTAGGTGGTTTAACCACTGAGCCACACCAGCCAGGCAAGCTTTATTTACAACTGCCCAACCCTAGAAGCAACAAGATGAATCTTAATAGGTGAATGGATAAACAAAATGTGGTACATCCAAAAAATGGAATGTAGCTCTGGCAGATTCCGCTCAGTGGTTAGAGCACCAGACTGCCAAACGAAGGGTCACAGATGTGATTCCCGGTCAAGGGCACATACCTGGGTTGCAGGTTCAATCCCCAGCCCCGGTTCGGGGTTCGTGCAGCAGGCAACCACTCTCTCTAAAAATCAATGGGAAAAATATGCTCAGGTGAAGATTAACACACACAAAAGAAAATATGACCCAGCAATTCCACTCCTAGGTACATACCCAAAAGAAATACAAACATATCCACATAAAGACTTACACATGAATATTCACAGCATTATTCACCATTGCCAACAAGTAAAAACAATCCAAATGCCCGTCAGCTGATGAATGGATAAATTAAATTAGGTATATCTGTACAGCAAAAAATTATTTGACCATAAAAGAATGAAGTGCTTATACCTACTATAGCATGCATGAATCCTGAAAGCATTATATTCAGTAACATAAGATAGACATAAAAGGCAATGTATTATATGATTCCATTCATATTAAATGTATAGGACAGGCATATGAAGATGTAGAAAGTAGATTACTGGTTGCCTAGAGGTGGGGAAGAGGAAATGGGGCGAGACTGATAATGGGGATGAGGTTTCTTTTTAGGGTGATGGAAATGCACTAAAATTACATTGTGATGGTTGCATAACTCTGAATACACCAAAATTCTTTGAATTGTACATTTAAGTTGGTGAAATTTATAATATTAGTATTATATATCTCAATAAAACTGTTTAAAAAAATCTAAGCCAACATTAATCACAGACTCATATTAATTAGAGTTTCAATAAGGATATTATATATAAAAATAACAAAAGGGAATGTTTTAGTTTTCATTATTAGAACTAATGGAAATTACAGACCTCTGAGAGTCAAAAAATAATTTGGAATTTAAGTGAATTTCCACATAACCATGAATATATAATAGTAACTGTTAGGAGACTTCATTTCTATTAATGAACAAGGAAGCTACAATACATTGTAACAGCTGGGGAGTGAGCACAGATTCCGCATCTGACCACAGCTCAGACTACAAAATTTTCAGTGAGCACAAGCCTAAGCAGACATGCCATATCAAAACTTCCACATATAGCCAAAACCGGTTTGGCTCAGTGGATAGAGTGTTGGCCTGTGGACTGAAGGGTCCGAGGTTTGATTCCGGTCAAGGGCATGTACATTGGTTGTGGGCACAATCCCAGTGGGGGGTGTGCAAGAGGCAGCTAATCCATATTTCTCTCTCATCGATGTTTCTAGCTCTCTATCCCTCTCTCTTCCTCTCTGTAAAAAAAATCAATAAAATATATATTTTTAAAAAAACAAAAAAAACTTCCATGTATAAAATTAGGTGATATTAAAGAATTACTGATAATTTAAAAATTGCTAATAGCTATGTGTTAAAGAGTTCTTATCTTTAAGAGATAGGTATTAGAATTATGGCAAAATAGTATCAGGATTTGCTTGATATTAAAACAGAACCGCAGTGGACAGGGTAGGGGGATAGGAATAAAACAAGGGTAACCATTATTTAATGATTGCTGCAACTATTGATTGCAATTGTTATTTATTATTTCCTTATCTCTTCTATAATATTTGTGCTTGAAAATGTTCATAGCAAAATAAATAAATAAATATTAAAAACCAACCACTAACAAACTTTTTTATTAAATATTTTGGTTTGACATGCAAAGTAAGAGTAAACAGAGTTGAGATGATGGCAAACTACATTCACATAAAGGCCAGGCTTCCTAGAATTTCAACTATGAATGTGAAGAACCCAATTGTTAGAATTAAGCACAAAATGCCTCTGATCTATACAAATGATTATTACTTCTAATACACACACAAAATTTCTCTTATGTCAGAGTTATAGCCAAGAGGTAGCCGACTCAGACTTACACAGAATTCTAGTATGTGTGTTTACTGAATTTCTTAGCCAACAGCCAATAATTAGAAGGGAGGCTAATAAACAGACACACGAAGAGCATAATTCTGCTGATGATCTAATAGGAAGGAAAAGAGAGAACAGCTATATATGACATGAAGTTCACCACTAATGAACACAACTTTATGAAGAGTTATAACCAGCCAGAGGCTTTGGAGTCAAACATAGATCCACATTCTACAGCCACTTCTTACCTCTATGAACTGAGCCAAATAACTTAACCTCACTTTTCTCTTGAAATGAGAAAATGACAGTGGTAACTACATCAGTAGGCTTGCTTTGATGACTAAAAAATTATCACGTATTTTGGAAGCTGATTTTCCAATCCCAGATAACCATTTGCTTGTAACCCTGTAAGGAACCCTAAGCCAAAACCACCCAGATCAAATGCTCCAGATTTCCAATCTAAGAAACGGATGAAATATTAAACGTCTACCTACCGTATTTTTCGGACCATAAGACACACTTTTTTCCCCCCAGAAGTGGGGGGAAAAAGTCCCTGCGTCTTATGGTCCAAATATAGCCTACACATATACTTTAAAAAAAAGTTTTACTTGCCCGGCTCTGTGTGGTCTCTGTGTGCTTGCCCGGCTCTAAAATGGTTCTAAATGCTGCTGTTTACTTTACAGGGTTGATTACATGTGTTTATGACTGTGATGTTGGGTTTTAATGCACATAAAATATTTTAGGACACTATTTGTTTCAGAATCTTTTTTTCTTCATTTCCCTTCTCTAAAAACTGGTGCATCTTATGGTCCGGAGCGTCTTATGGTCCGAAAAATACGGTAATTAAGTTGCTACATTTGGAGGTAATTTTTTTTACATAGAATAGACACCTAATACATTAGTACAATTTGTCTATTATTTGATTAGCTAATTTCCCCTCTACATATAGTTATGTAGTCTCTTTGCTATGTAAACAAGATTATACAAGAGAAACCCTTCAATTCCTCTGAACAGAGTGCTTGGCACCTTGAAACAGCATGTTTATAAAGCTGGATATTATTTTCAGTACTGAATCTCTTGAATCTAACCTTGCTTGTATGCAAGTGCACTAAGGGGGCAAAAACCCAGACCATTGTGTCTGTCATAACTCAGTGCCTCACCTCTCACCTAATACACTGTATTATATGTACACTCTATATTGTACAACAGAGATACAATATACTTTAATATTAATAATAATACTCTGAGTCCTACCTGAATGAGGCATTTGCTCACATCACTAGCACACAGTGCTTTGTTACAACTCAGGGACCCAGGGATCCATGTCAGGAACACCAAGATGGCTAGAGTAAGCATAACAATAGAATGTGACTTCATGTTTCTTCAAAGACAATCGGCAACTCCCAGGAAGCTAAACCAAAACAAACAACAAACAAAAAACTTCAATTCAAAAGTAAGTGCTAGGGTAAAAACAAATACAAAAATGAAAAACAGCACAAATAAACCGCACTCCCTGTGTTAGAAGACTTTCGAGTGATAATTTAAAGGTCATTCAATGAAAGATTCAACATGAAAAAACACCCTGCAATTTTTATATAATAATGTCTTGTTGGCCATCTTCAAAGATTTAGAATACTTAAATTTCTCAGACTACCTAGAAACAGTGACTGGTAAATTAAAGTGGACATATTAGGATACGTATGTATTTATAGGTCATCAGTAACTTGAGAATATACAAGCAAATAACTAATTTCAAAACTACCCTGCTACTATTCAACTTTAGTTTTAGGCCTATTATTCAACTTTATGCCTGTAGAAAAACTATTAATAGTGTATTCTAATTTTAAAACATTTAACAACATTTTAATTCTTGGAATTAAAACAGATTTTAAATGTAAGTAATTCTAGTAATGATGATGATTATATCATTGTTTCTTAACACAACTAGAAGGAAGCAGCTCAAAGAAAGGAGTTGACAGTCATTCCTTAAATAATTTAGCAAGTAACAAAGGGGACAGTAAATTATTAACTGCATTATGTTAAGCTCTTCTTCTGATTCTATACCCCAGGTACCACAGATTCTTCACCATTATTAAGATGCTATTACACTTTCAAAGGAAGGAAGAAAAAAAAAAAAGACCAGGACAAATTCTGACAGTGGTTAAACCACCAATGTGGCTATTAAAATCTCTAAAAAGCGAAGATATAACTTCTTGGGGGTTAAAACACCCCTTCCATAGAACCAATTAAACTAAATGACTACTGATGCAAGGATAAAAGGTGCGTTTATAGGGCCTTTATAATTACCGTAAACTTTTTTTCTGAGTATTACGAAGCACAATTAAAACAAAAACAAAAAGGCTTCGTACCCGGGATGACTCAAGTTTGAAAGAGAAAGCCCTGGCGATGGCTCCTGAGGCCACAGGTTTTCTCTTTTAAAGACCGTTACTATCCCCATTACCTAACTTATTTACCAACACGTACCCAGTGGAATGGCTTTTGGAGCCACCAGTGGGGGCCCAAGGAAGGTATTTGAAAACTGATCTTTTTTTCCAGAACTAGTTTTCATCCTACAACTACCAAAAAGGGGTTTTTAATTTTTTTATTTTCCATCTGCGCTTGTCCTTCATCCTACTCCCAACATCTTCCTGGGGAAAATATTCAAGTAAACACGGGTATCTACAGAGCAGGTAGCAGCATTATCTGAGAGGCTTCTAGCCTTTTTTAAGAACAATACCCCATCGGAGCTGCGAGGTCGGCGGGGGCCGGCGCTGACAGCAGCCTTTGTGCCGCCGGGAGGTGGCGGCGGCCCGCGGCCCGCGGCCCCAGCGCCCCCCGGAGGACCAGGCCGGGGGCGCGGGCCCCGGCGGCGCAGGGAAAGGGGCGCCAGGGCCGCCCAGCACCCACTGGCGGCGGGACCCCACTTTGTCCTCCGCGTAGGCGGGGCTCCGGCCGCGCGAGCGCCCCCGTTCCTGCCGGCTCCCGAGAAGCCCCCCGCGGGCACTGCCTCCGGAGGCCCGAGCTCGGGGCACAGACCCTTCCGGCCGCCGCCGCCAGCCCCGGCCCCTCCCGCTCACCGTGCGCCGCGGCCCCGCTAGGCTGCCTGGCCTGCTCCCCGGCGCCTCGGCCCAGCTCGGACGCGCTGCGGGGCCGTGCGAGGGAGGCGGGCCGCGCCTCCGCGCAGTCGCTCCTCCGCGAAGCGCCGCGAGCTCCCGACACCTCAAAGGCCCAGGCCCGCCCGCCGCCCTCCAGGCCCCGCTCCGCCTCCCGCTCAGCACTCCTCCCTCTCCCCGCCGCGCCCTCTCTCGGCTCAGCACCACCGCCGGCTCCGCCAGAACAGCGCATGCCCCGCCCCCGGGTCTTGGCCCCGCCCCGGGTCTTGGCCCCGCCCCCAGGGACACACCCACCCTGGCGCCCACGCGCGCGCGCTCTCAGCCCTCTTCCCTGCTCCACATCAGGCTTCAGGCCCGTTCTCTGCACTCACCATGTGCTAGCCATGGAGCTGAGCTCACTGAATCCTCACAGCAACGCTGCGAGGCAGCTGTTCTAGGTCCTCTTAGAGGGCTGCAAGACGGAGGCTCTGGGTGATGGAGTGGAGCTGACCTTGTTATTTCACATCAGGGGTCAGATTTCTTAAAATACAGGTTTCTGGGATCTGCATGAGACCGACTGAATAAGGATCCCCCAGAGTAGAAAGAGCCTTCTTTTCAGCAGTTCACTAAAGTCTGCTGTGCCCTGTGAGTGAGTGCCTGGCGCTGTGTTTAGCATTGTAATTAGAAGTGAGAGGACAAGCCTTAGGAGCTGGGCCAAGAAAAAGCTTGCTGGCCTGCGGAGATGGACAGACAGCTGGACAAACGGCTACAGCGCACCACTCCAAGCCTCAGTAGGAGAGGGCAGACCTCCTAAGCAGGACGCCAGCACTCATTTCAGCCCCTATTTCAAGAAAGCGAATTCATTTCAACAACAGCTAGCGTGTAGGTAAAAGCAATGGAGAATTTACACTCAGTTCCTTCCCACAGCCCTGGGATTTTGCAGGTGTGGCTCAGGGGTTGAGGGTGGACCTATGAACCAGAAGGTCATAGTTCAATTCCCAGTCAGGGCACATGCCCAGTTGCAGGCTCGATCCCCAGTAGAGGGGGTACAGGAGGCAAGCCTATCAATGATTCTCATCATTGATGTTTCTCTCTCTCCCTTCCACTCTAAAACCAATTAAAAAATATATTTTTAAAAAAGATTCCAGAAATATTAAGTTGGAGCCCTTTGAGCTATGATCCACAAGGTATTTCTCCTTGGAAATACTGACCTAGTGCTAAAGTCTTAAACTAGAAACAGTCTTAAATGCCTTATATATGGAATCCTGTTAACAAAATTAATCAGCGAACAAAATAGAAAAAAAGGCATGGATACATGGAACAGACTGGCAGCTGTCAGAGGGATGGGAGAGGAGTTACTGGATGAAGTAAGGTGAAGGGATTAGCCAAAGAACATATATGCATGACACCCAGACACAGAGAGCAGTGGTGATGGCCAGAGGGAAGGTGAGGCAGGGGCTGTGTTGAAGTGGGGAAATAGGGAGAAAATGGGGACATCTGTAATAGTATCAACAATAAAGTTTAAAAGAAGTACTTGGTAATTGTAAATTTAACAAAAGATTCTTGTTAATATGAAGTTATCCATTCTTTTGGGTAAATGGTTAGGAGTGAGATTGATAGTATTTTTTTTTATAGGAAGTGTATTTTTTACATTGTAAACTACTAAATGGATATCCAAAATGGTGGTTCACATTTTGCATTTTTGCCAACAATTGAAGAGTTCTAGTTGCTCAACAGTTTCTCCAATTCCTGGTATTTTAAGTATTAATTTTAGCCATTCTAGTTGGTATATACTGGGATAGCATTGTGGTTTTAATTTGATTTCCCTAATGACTAATGATGCTGAGCATCTTGCTATGTGTTTTGTTCCCTTGCCATTCACATATCTTTAGTAAAATATTAAAATTTTGTTTTCTTGAGTTGAAAATTTTTACATTTCCAGAATATTTATCAGGGCCTAACCAGTTTGGCTCAGTGGATAGTGTCAACCTGTGGACTGAAGGGTCCCAGGCTTGATTCCAGTCAAGGGCATGTACCTTGGTTACGGGCACATCCCCAGTGGGGGCTGTGCAGGAGGCAGCTGATAAATGTTTCTCTCTCATCGATGTTTCTAACGCTCTATTCCTCTTCCTTCCTCTCTGTAATAAATCAATTAAAAATATTTTATCATATTTAAAAATATTTTTTATTGATTTCAGGGAGTGATAGAAACAACAATGATCAGAATTACTGATTGGCTGCCTCCTGCACGCCCCCCTACTGAGGACCAAGGCTGAAATCAGAGCAGGTGCCCTTGACTGGAATAGAACCTGGGACCCTTCAGTCCCCAGGAAGATACTCTATCCACTGACCCAAACCAGTTAGGGACATATATGTTTTTAATCAATTTTTTGAAAGTGTAAGTGTGGCTTACATTTTCATTTTAAGTGTTTTTTGAAGGAAAAAAGTTGTAAACTTTAATGTCCTATTTATCAAATTTTTTCTTTTATGGGTTATACTTTTTCTATTCTAATTAAGAAATTGTTGCCTAACTGAATGTGAATATGTTCGAGAGGAATGTTAGTTTGTAGTTTTTCTATGTTTACTTTCTGAGATTTTTGTTTTTTTGGATAACTACTTCTGTGGAGGTTTTGTATCACCATTTTAGGTACAAAGGAAACTATGGTCCCAAGAAGCCACTAAGAAATGAATTACAAGGTATTTTAACAAATTAAACTTCACACAAACTTTTCCAAAGATGAATATGTCTTGTAACCACCTTTTTGCCATGAATGTTTGAAAGAATTTTTTTTGTTTTTGTTTTTGTTTTGTTTTTTTACAGAGAGGAAGGGAGATAGAGAGCTAGAAACGTCAATGAGAGAGAAACATCAACCAGCTGCCTCTTGTACACCCCCTACCGGGGATGTGCCCGCAACCGAGGTACATGCCCTTGACCGGAATCGAACCCGGGACTTTTCAGTCCGCAGACAGACGCTCTACCACTGAGCCAAACCGGTTTCGGCTTGAAAGAATTTTTTTAAAATATGAAAATGCTTTGTTTAAAATACAAGAAGATAAAACTGTATCATGAGTTTCAAATGGGTAAGTTCTCTATATCAAGTTTTGGGGTTTTATGCCAGGATACCAGAGAATAAAAAATACTGTTCACATGTTGGATAACTAAGGAAAATATTTAGTACAGTACCCAATTTCTAGAATAAGTGTATAATTATTAAGTCCACTAAAATGAGCTTCATGGGGTCTTTGCATAAGATTTTTGCAGTTATGAAGTTTGCACATGTGTAACATTTAAAATTCATTTTTCCCCCTTTTTATTTATTTATTTTTACATATTTTATTGATTCCCCCCCCTCCTTCCCACACACCCCCCCCCCTCCCCAGAGTTTTATGTCCATTGGTTGTATTTATATGCATGTATACAAGTCCTTCGGTTGATCTATTCATTTTTGAAACCTCATTACTAACTAGACTTGAAAGACCAATTCTTCAGATGCTGTTTGTTTCCCCAAAGTGATTATTTCTGCCATTTTGCTAGCTGATCAAGTAAATATCAGTGTTTGGCGTACAGTCATATAGGAGTGGAAAATTAAAAAAAAAAAAGCACACATTTCACTTTTTTTTCTATAAAAATATAACTCTTTATTAAATAACATGCACAAATATCAACTAGTCATTTATTAAACAGATAGGATGTAGAACAAGATTTAAAGAAATACAAATCCTCAGGTGCAGTTTAGTATCTTGTTCATGATATTTGAGTAGTTAAAAAAAATCACTGATTAAATGAACAATCCTTTGTTCCTCTTTCAGATCCTAAATCTTTAGGCATATACTCCATTCCAATTTTTTTTTCTAGCATTTCAGAGCTTTAGAATATTTGTAATATCAAAAGCCCTTAGCTACTTACTTAAGTATAAATTTCCAGGAAAGGCATTCACTTTTCTTTTAAGCTATCCGGATTAGCTTTGAGTCATTTTACAAAGGAAATCTGCACAAGCAGAATCATGGCAGAGATGCTCCAGCAACTTGAGGTACCATTGTAGAGGGTGAGAACTGTGGTTAATGCTAAAAAGCTGGGATGACTAAGACATGCCAGATTCCTGCGCGCTTGCTTTTTTTCTTCTGCAGCTTGTTCTGTTTGGCCAACATGTTCTCCCACACCCCTTCTCAGGTTGGACCATCAGCACAAAATGCTTACAAGCTTATCCCTCTCATATGTTCTATGACTCCATTGCTCAAAAATCTGTTTTTTGTTTAGGCAAAAGTATACACAAAATTTGCATTAATTTTTTCATATTAAAAAGTATTGCTTTTATAAATTAGATTTTAATGTTCCCAGCCTTAATAAACTCAACTTCAACAAAACCAGTGCTTCAAAATCTACCCTGCCTTTCTTGGCCCAATTTATCCAAAAAAAGGCCAAAATCTCTCATCTAAGTTTCTAAACACTACTACATCCAACCTCTATATTAAAGTCCTTGCACTGTGTATTTTTTACACGTGCTTCTTTATTGCGCATGCCAAATACAATATGAATTTAAATATAAATTGGTGTAAAAATTAAAAAATCCCTAAGCTTAATATGTACCTTTGCACTCAACAACTTCCATTATTCTTTTCTCTCCCATCATCTGGAATTTCCAACTTTTAAGCTGAATTTTAAACACTTTATTTCTCATATATTCTTTTTACTTTGTTCTATCAGAATAAAACACATCCAGTATTATTTTATAATTCAACAAAGTATTGTGGAAAGTTCTATAAATTTTAATCTCATACACTTATAATCAATTTTACATATAACCTAACTTTCCCTTCAAAAATGTTTAATAAGTTTAGCAGCAGGTTTCAGATCAGAAATATTCCTGAATATTTAATCTGTATCATGGAATAGGAGGAACTGGACTTGTTCTAATTATATTGCTAATTATTTTATTAAAAACAGCATACCAAATATTAATTATAAAATTCTGAAAATTAGACTTTATATCTTGATACAAGGAAAAAAATACAGCAGATTAATGAATTTTTCATAAACATTGTAGAGATCAATTGGAATATGCCTGTTGCTTTTACTTATTTTGACTATCAAATATCTCTTTTTTCATTGGAGTACTGTTTTTATTTTAAAAGTGCAAAGGTTATTAAGCTTAAAACATTATGCTTTAGCAATGTAAAAAAGTTTTACAATGATTTAACATGACCAATAAAATTTATTAAACATATTTTACATATATTCACAGATTCATCATACTTGAGTATTAAAATAGATATTTACAATTTCAGAATTTTCATTCAAAGGAGTTTGGGGGTGGGAGGAGAGAATAGGCTCTACTATGAGGTGAAAGAAGAGCTGTTCCTTTGTATGACTATTCTAAATAATATATCCAACATAGTAAGCCATAGGTACTATGCCAGGAGATTAGTATGAAACACCTTACACTACTTTAGTCATCACTTATGGAGTTAAATTATAGGAAGAAGCATGCAATACGACTAAGTCACAACTTTACAGTTATGGTGATAAAAACAAGCTAACTCAAACACATGCATGCCTTATTTAAAAGTTTTGCTACCTGACCACCCTACTGCTACACTCCATACAAACTACAACTTTGGTCCAATAAAACATCAGACAAAACAGGTTTATAATTATTTCTTTGTACATGTTTTGACTACCAATCCCTTTGTTTACATTTTGAGCATTAATTACAAGATTTACATCTGCACATTATGTATAAAATAAGTTATTAAAAAGAAAGACAATATCAAACTTTTGAAAAGAAAACTGTACAATTTACAAATATAATAAACTGAAGAAAATTTGTGCCAAGTTTTGCTTCCACATTAGAAACTATTTGGTAGGAATTGAACCTTTTAGTTTACTGATATATTTTAATAAAACTTAAAAAAGATTTGCATACTAGTGGTTATCTTATTACTTAGAGTGCTAACAACTTCCAGCGCCATTAGCAGATTCTCAACTTTTTAAATATCTACCACATCCTGCCAAATGTAATCATGACCTTTGACCGATATAGTTTTCAATTAGAAATTGTTTGGATTCAAGATCCAAAATATTTCTTTTCATTTTTTATAAAATGACAGTGTTTGCTACATAATCAATTATAGTTCAACTTTACCAACAATTGTAAAGGCAGAATATCAGTATTTTTGTCAAAAAGCAATTTTCCACAGTACAACACTGGAGTCTCCATCATTTTAAGATGACACACGAGGAAGTAACGGCTGCTATATAGGAGTCAATTCAAAATCATCATTAACCTCAACAAGGGGAACATAAAACTCCTGGATTTCATAAATGCTGATAGATTTATATGTGGCAGGATCAAGTTCCTGGAGTTTGAGCTGCCATTCTAATCTCTGAACGGCGTTTAAAGCTGCAGCTTCATGTTGCTGCCTCATTAAAAGACAGGTCTATTAAAAAGAAAAAAGTTAATGAATTATTCTATTAAATATGCTTTGTTTACGTTAGGGATATAGCAGAGGTATAAAAAGTTTTTGAGTTATACAGGGTAGGTGTTAAACCTTGTCTGTATCCATATGCCTACTATTTCTGGGTCCTCAACTTCACACACATTTTAATGTTTAAAACTATTGTTTCAAATGAGATTTCGAATTAACAAAAGAATCAAGAAAATCTAAGGAGAAATGATTTGTACTGAAGATCTAAAACCAAATACTTTTCTTTATAGAGTTGCAAAATATATTTCTTATTATTATTTCCCATTCTTTCATATGTTAGAACTATAACTAGACTTGTATATTGGACAATAAACATAAAGATCCTTATTAGAAATTCATTTTTCTACATTGATCCTGAAGAGTAATATGGCTTTTATTTTCCAAGTGTGACCTAGTGTGAGGATCTGTGATCAGTATTTCTTTCCCTAATAATTTCTCTCTAAATATAGCTGCAGTATTTGTTTTGAAAGGGGAAGCAGCCCTGGCCAGGTACCTCAGTTGGTTAGCATGTCAACCCAAAACATCAAGGTTGTGGGTTTGATCCCTGCTCAGGGCACATACAAGAATCAACCAATAAATGCATAAATAAGTGGAACAACAAATTGATGTTTCTCTCTCTCTCTAACCCCCCTTTCTAAAAATCAATTTTTTAAAAATTTAAAATGAAAAAAAAAAGAGAAGGGGAAAGCATCCATTTAAACTGAACTTCTCAATATACATACCTTTAATTTGTCAAATTTATCATCCACATCTTGTAACCAAGACATGAACTGTCTTGCATTAAAGCGATCCCTCACAGAAGTTTTACTGTCATCAGACTGAAAGAGAACGTTAAATATAGTTGAATATAATAAAATACAATAAAATCCACTTTAAAATCTCTATGTCATTATATCTTTTCATGTTATATTCCATTTTTTAAGGAATGATGGAAATATATTTTGAAAAAGGATAAAATATTATCTGAATATTATAAAAATGTTCTTTCCTAAGACTGATCCAATTATTCATTTTAATAACAGTTTCTGTTACCTCTGAATGTTCTCATTTGAATAAAATAGTTGGTGGCTTAAGAAAGTTTGAAATCTACTTATCTTGTTTAATCTTTTTAGCACATGAGAAAAATTAAAAATAAAATACAACCAGAGAGAAGACAGTAACTTTCTCTATAATATACTTTATATCCCTTGTATTTCTAGCTTGCCCAACTTACAACAGCATTTCCTAGTCTTTTTTTTATGATATTTTATTGTCCACGTTTACACTTTTTATTTTAATCATTATATTCTCTTACGACCAATGAATTTCATTCTGGTTTATGAAATAAAAAAATTCTGACAACTGATATGTCTAATTCAGGTAATTTATATGCAGCAGTAAACTTTGTTCAAGATACAACTACAGTTTTTCAATTGCAGTAGGCCCTTGAATAATACTTTGTTCTGTGCTGTGTTTCATTATAACGCTAATGAGGTACTATATAAACTTAACCCTTGTTTGTATCAATGAGCCTATGGTAATACTAGTTTCATTATATGTTGTTTTGCTTAAAGTTGCAGAACCTGTTGACTATGTTAAGTGAAGACTTACTGAATATTAATTAAAAAAATAACCAAGATCAAAACAAAACATGGCCCTATTGTAGCACCATCACAACTTAAGAGGTTCGGTCTGCCTGTACTATTTTCCAGCTTACAGTAGCTTTCCAGCTGCTTGAAGGCCAGACTGAATGTATAAGTATCCACTTTAGAACCAAATTATAAATTACCTATAGGGACACTATCCTAAACACATATTTGTTTTGCAATTATCTACTTTTATGATATAAAAGTTAATTATTTTATTACATTTTGCCATATGAACAACTGTAAATCCTCTTTTGTCCGTCCCAATATCTATGCCAATAAAAGGGTAATATGCTAATTAGACCGGGAGACCTTCCGGACATCCTTCTGGACAAAGCCATGGTGGTGGGGCCGAGGGCGAGGGTGATCAGGCCAGGGGGGAGGGCAGTTGGGGGCAATCAGGCCAGTGGGAGGGCATTTGGGGTGAGCAGGCCAGCAAGTGGGGGCAGTTGGGGGCGATCAAGCCAGCAAGGGGGGCAGTTGGGGGCAAGAAGGCTTGGGGGGGCAGTTGGGGGTGAGCAGGCTGGCCTGCAGAATGATCAGGCAGGCAGGCAGGTGAGTGGTTAGGAACCAGCGGTCCTGAATCGCGCCTGCTCCCCCTGGGGACATTCCCTGAGGGTTCCCGGACTACAATAGGGTGCAGGCTAGGCTGAGGGACCCCCACCTCGCCCGCCACATTGAGAGCACTAATTTTGTGCACTGGGCCTCTAGTATTACAATACTAGAGGCCCAGTGCACGAAATTCATACACGGGTAGGGTCCCTAGGCCTGCCTGGCAATCAGAGCCGATCAGGTTCCCCGCCTCCTCTTTCCCTTTCTCCCTCAGTGCTCCACTGCCACCCCTGGTTGCCCACCATGTTCCGAGCCACCCCCTGGTGACCAGGGCACATCATAGCAAGCAATCAAATTCCTGGTCTCTTCATCAAACTCCCAAGGGGACAATTTCTATATTAGCCTTTTATTATATAGGATAAACTTTTATGCTATAAACATTATTAGACATGGTATTATATTAAGCAGTGGTTGCCAACTGGTAGTCCATGGACGAGGTCCGAAAGGTTGGTGACTGCTGTTTAAGGAAACCTTTGGAGCAGTGGTCGCCAACCGGTGGTCTGTGAGGTCTGAAAGGTTGGTGACTGCTGTACTAGAGGACTTTAGAAAATGGAGGATCAGGTGACTTGGGAATACTTTGGTCTAGAAGACTTGTTTTTCTCATTTGAGTTTTACTAATTGTTGAATTCAAGTTTCTTCAATGGGAATTACAAAAAAAAACCCAAGTTGTATTAAGAACATTCTAACTGTATCAGCAAGCACTGTACCTGAGCATCCAGTGGCACACTGTAGACTTCTGCGTCCAGTAAAACAGTGCATGCACTAAATGGCAGTGTTTGATTTGCTAGTGTTCTTGCAGCTCTGTAATGAACTCGTAGAACTTCCTGTTCATTGGATACAATGAGTTTTTCCTAGTTGAACAAAGAATTAAAAAATATATAATTCTTTAACTACTTGTTTTTAAATAAAATATAAAACTTTTTAAATAAAATATGCTAAACAACTTTAATCTCAGAGCCATTTTTTCTTCATAGTAAGCTTGAGAATTTGAGAACTAGTGTTTGAAAAGTATAAGTAGACTTTCTTTTTAAAACTGGCATTTTCTTTTTAAAAATGATCTTGTACAGGGTACAATCGTGACTTTTAGTATAGTCACAAGATGTTTAATCATCACCACTTATTCCAGACTATTTTCATCACTTCAAAAAGAAGCCCCATACCCATCAACAAAACTATTCCCCATTTATCCTCTTTCCTGGAAACTAACTCTATTTTTTGTTTTTATAAATTTTACCTATCATGAACACTTTATATAAATGGAATAATATGTAATCTTTTGTAACTGGCTTCTTTCATGTCACATGATTTCAAGGTTCATCTATGTTGTACTATGTATTAATACATTGTTCCTTTTTATGGCTGAATAATATTCCATTGTATGAATATACCACATTTTATTCATTCATTTATCAGTTGTCAATTTTCTGGGTAGTTTCCAATATTGGGCTATCCATGAATAATGCTACTATGAATATTTCATATTTAAGTTTTTGTTTCAATGTGTGTTTTTATTTCTCTTGGGTAAATAAGAGAACTGCTAGGTCACATGGTAATTCTATGTTTAACTTGTTGAGGAACTATCACACTGTCTTAAATAGCAGTCGTACCATGTTATATTCCCACCAGCAATTTATAAAGGTTCCAATTTTTTCACATCCTCGCCAATGCTCACTGCCTGTCTTTTTAGATTACAGCCATTCTAGCCCTATGCGGTGGTTAGAACATTGGCCTGCATACCAAAGGGCTGTGGGTCCAATTCCCAGTCAAGGGCACATACCTGGGTTGCAGGTTTGGTCCCTGGTTAGGATGTATGACAGAGACAACCAATTGATGTTTCTCTCTCTCCCTCTCCCCTCCACTTTCTAAAAAAATCCAAGGAAAAAATATCCTGGGTGAGGATTAACTAAAAACAAAAACAAAACCCAAAATAAAAATCACAAATATTTTCTTTTTTAAAAAATATCTTTTATTGATTTTTTTACGGAGAGGAAGAAGAGAGGGATAGAGAGTTAGAAATATCGATGAGAGAGAATCATCGACCAGCTGCCTTTTGCACACCCCCTGTTGAGGACGTGCCCGCAACCAAGGTACATGCCCTTGACTGGAATTGAACCCGGGACCTTTCAGTCTGCAGGCCGATGCTCTATCCACTGAGCCAAACCGGTTTCGGGAAATCACAAATATTTTCAAGCCATATTATAGTTGTTGCAGATACTGCCCTCATATTTTTATACTCACTTCTTTGCAATTCTTATAGTTATTATACCTCCTACTTCATGACACATGACAGCAGCTTTCAGTGTAAATTGTGCAACACAGCTGGCCCACTATCAAGCAATTCTGTTGCTGGTAGTTTATTCAGTCAACAAATGATAAAGCTGTTTGTCTTCATATTGGTCAGACATTTAAATTGCTTTGTAGTATTATGCAATACTAAATTGTGTGATGGTCAATATGGAGGAGGATGAGTCATTTTTGCTATCTATTGGGTCGGCAGCTAAGTAATTGCGGGTTTCACACATATATGGCTTCAGTTGAATTTTTAGGTTTGCAGACGTAGTACAAATGTAAAACACATTTTGTTATTTGATAGTTGGCTATTCAGCTGTTAATCAGTAAAAAAAGTTTTTTGATCTGTTTTGTAGTTTTTGTTTGGCGTTCGTTGAAAAATGGAAAATCAAAAGGAACATTTTTGTCATATTTTGCTTTTTTATTTCCGCAAAGGGAAAAATGCATCCCAAGCTCATAAAAAGTTATGTGCTGTTTATGGTGACGAAGCCTTAAAAGAACGGCAGTGTCAAAATTGGTTTGCCAAATTTCGTTCTGGTGATTTTTCACTCAAAGATGAAAAACGCTCTGGTCGTCCAGTTGAAGTTGATGACGCCCTAATCAAAGCAATAATCAATTCGGACTGTCACAGTACAACACGTGAGATTGCAGAGAAGCTTCATGTATCACATACATGCATTGAAAATCACTTAAAACAACTTGGCTATGTTCAAAAACTCGATACATGGGTTCCTCATGAACTGAAAGAATCACAGTTAAGGCAACGCATTAGCAGCTGCGATTTGCTAAAGAAACATAATGAAAATGATCCATTTTTAAAACGACTGATAACTGGCGATGAAAAATGGGTTGTTTACAACAATATCAAGCGGAAAAGATCGTGGAGCAGGCCAGGTGAACCAACTCAAACCCCATCAAAAGCTGATATTCATCAAAAGAAGGTTTTGTTATCAGTTTGGTGGGATTACAAAGGAATTGTCTACTTTGAACTCTTACCACCCAACCAGACGATCAATTCTGATGTCTACATTGAACAACTAACGAAATTAAACAATGCAGTTAAAGAAAAGTGGCCCGAATTGACAAATCGAAAAGGTGTTGTATTCCATCATGACAATGCAAGGCCACACACATCTTTGGTCACTCGGCAAAAATTAATGGAGCTTGGTTGGGATGTTTTGCCACATCCACCATATAGTCCTGACCTTGCACCATCTGATTACTTTTTGTTTCGATCTTTACAAAACTCCTTGAATGGTAAAAATTTCAATAATGATGATGATGTCAAATCGTACCTGATTCAGTTTTTTGCTAATAAAAACCAGAAGTTTTTTGAACGTGGGATTATGATGCTGCCTGAAAGATGGCAAAAGGTCATTGATCAAAATGGGCAATACATTACAGAATAAAGTTATTTAGTTCCATAAAAAAATTGTCTTTTTCTTTAAAAAAAATCAATCCGCAATTACTTAGTTGCCGACCCAATATTAAGGTTCTGCAAGTTTCACAGTTCAAATGACAATTCTTAACTGTCTGTAGAAAGTATGGCTTCTGTAGGTGATTGATAGTTAAAACAACTATTGATATATTTGTTATATGATCTAACTTATTGCTCTATGATATGGGTCATGAATTATAAGTTCTGTATCAGTGCTTTCTTCTTTTTTTTTTTTTTAAATATATTTTATTGATTTTGTACAGAGAGGAAGGGAGAGAGATAGAGAGCTAGAAACATCGATGAGAGAGTCATCGACCAGCTGCCTCTTGCACACCCCCCACTGGGGGTATGCCCGCAACCAAGGTACATGCCCTTGACCGGAATCGAACCCGGGACCTTTCAGTCCCCAAGCCGACGCTCTATCCATTGAGCCAAACCGGTCTCGGCAGTGCTTTCTTCTTTTATTTGTTCTCACTGTAACACTATCAATTTAAAAACATTATTCTGAAAAAAATAATCCCACCAAAACATTATTCTGAGAAAAGGTCTTATACAATATTTATCCGATTGTTATAGGGCACAAAAAAGATTAATCTCTGTCATAAGAAATTAATAATGTCTGAATCAAATAAATTGTAGACAAGGTTTCGTTTGTAAATAACTATGTTACATCACATTTGCAGAATTCCCTGACCATCCCAAAAGATTAAGAAGGTGTTTTTTGATTTTAGAAAGGAAGGCTGTGAGAGAGTGAAAGAGAGAAACAGCGATGTGAAACAGACACAACAACTGACTGCACCTCTGCAACCCCAGCCCAGCACTCTCCCCGACGGGAAATTGAACCTGTGACCTTCCGGTACATGGGATGATGCTCCAACCAATTGAACTACACTGACCAGGGCCTTTTATGATTTTTATAAATAATTAGATAGATTTCCCCTCCTGTCATTTCATGCCAAGACTAACCACTAGAAACTGAAATACTAAAGTAAGGATCAGTAAGCACAGCCTCTGTAAGTATTTTACACTAACATAATTGGTAACAAGCAACAATTCTAAAATGTGGAAGTCCAAATGTCCAACTAGAATTCACTGTTATAGTTCTGCAAATTCAATAAGAAAATTAGCCTGGCTGGTGTGGTTCAGTGATTGAGCATCACCCTATGAAACAGGAGGTCATGGTTCAATTCCCAATCTGGGCACATGCCTGGGTTGTGGGCTCAATCCCTGGTGTGGGGCTTGCAGGAGGCAGTCAATCAATGATTCTCATCATTGATGTTTCTATCTCTCTCTTTCTCTCCAAAATCAGTAAAAGTATTTTTTTTTAAAAGAGAAAATCATTAGAGGCTTTTATAAATTGAAAATATACTGAACATAAATTTTAACATGGGAGCAGCTACCCTAAAACAGGCTTACAAATTCTCCATCTAAGATACGCACAAGGTAATAAATCATCTCTCAAAATGGATCTAAATAAGAAAAATTCACTAATGAAAAACTGTAGGTCACTGTAATATATTGTTATTTTTTAGCATAAATGTAAATGTAAACAACTCTTACCCTTTCAATGCTGTGTTGCAAACGTAGTTTCATCCTTACCACTTCCTGTTGCCGAAACAGCTCTTTGAGAGGATCTGATAGTGAAGGGGGTGGCGTAATCTAATTTTAAAAATTTAATAGTTAAAAATATTAGGTTTTATTTATAATGGGCTACACTTATAAAATTAAAACCTTTTAGTAGATAACTTAAAATGAAGATATAAATTCAGATGTTCTCTGAATTAAATAATATAGTAACAATTATACAATTATTTTTTAATTTCAACTGTTTGAAACCCTAAATATTGTTCCACTAAGTACCTTAGAGCAGTGGTCGCCAATCTTTCGGACCTCCGGTCGGCGACTGCTGCCTTAGAGTATCTATATTTCCCCCTCTCTCATCCCAGTTTATAATTCTTTTCAGCATTATTAGAACAAAGTAAGATAGCTCAGTATATCTGGCACAGTATAGAACTTAGTTAACTCTTGATTTTTCTGAAGGTAAGAGAAATAGATACAGTGTGTTTCATGATGCACAACAGGAATTATACAATACCATATATGAAAAGCTCTTGCCAAAGAATCAAACCTGGATCTAATCAAGACTCTATAATCAGTAAACAGTTTACAGGAATTATGAATGACTGAAAAACATGTTAAATATCATAAGCATTTAATTAGTCAAATCAATGTGGAAAATACAAAACATAACTTTTAGGGGCTAATCATTTTTCAATGAGCTGGCCTCTAATTGCAATGATACATTTGCTTGATTTCTGTGTCCTGTAAACTTTAAATTTACAACAAAAAGAGTTAAATGGTGAGTTTGGTGCTATTGTTGTAGTTTTATAATCATGCAGGCCTCTTTCAAGCAACACAGAGGAAGAGTATGTATTCCTTTGAGGCTGGAGTGTCAGAGAAAGTTTCTTTCAGAGCCTTAACCTAAAGGAAGAGTTAAGAGAAATGAGTTGTGGGAAAAAGGAAAGAGAAAGAAGAGAAGAAGGTAATTCCCAGAAAAGAGAATGGTATAATCAAATGCATGAAACAAACAGTATAGAGTTTGGAGGCAATTATAAGCAGGCTTGAATCCTTGGAACATAACAGGAGGTAAAGAATGATGGGATATGAGGACAGAGAGATCAGCAGTGGCAAAGTAATAAAGGTTGTGGTCTAGTTAAACCAGCTTTTCTTAAAATATGTTCCACTGAGCACTTTTGAGATAAAACAAGTTTAGTATTAGATAAGATTTATTTATTTATTTATTTATTTATTTATTTATTTATTTATTTATTTATATTTATTTTTTAATTTATTTTTTTGGTTTTGTACAGAGAGGAGGGGAGAGAGATAGAGAGTTAGAAACATCGATGAGAGTCATCGATCAGCTGCCTCCTGCACACCTCCCCACCGGGGATATGCCCGCAACCAAGGCACATGCCCTTGACCGGAATCGAACCCGGGACCCTTCAGTCCCCAAGCCGACGCTCTATCCATTGAGCCAAACTGGTCTCGGCAAGATTTATTTTTTTGTTAATCATTTCAAGGATATTTTTTCCATTGACATTTTTGTTTTAGAGAGAGAGGAAGAAAGGAGTGTGGGGAGAGAAAATGAGAGAAACATCAATGTAAGAGAAACACCGATTGGTTGCCTTTTGCATACCCCTTGATCAGGGCTAGGGATCCAATATGCAACTCAAGTATGTACCATTGACTGGGAATCGTACCCATGACCCTTTGATGTGTGAGCTGATGCTCTAACCACTGAGAAACACTGGCCAGAGCTAGACATACTGATTTTAAGGATAATGTGGGGCATTCAGCTGTCTAGAAGCAGCTAGAAACATGGTTATAGAAATCAGTAGTGTATTCATGGCTAAAGATAAACTTGGAACTATTCTACAAGAGATAGTGTTCTAGCCCTTAATTAGATTACCACTGTCAGAGACAGACACCTTAAACAGTTAACGACAATATTATAGGGGAATAAGGAAGACACAAGCAATTCTTCCTTGACTAAATTTTGTACAGGGGTGACATCACAGCTTAGAAAAAGGCAAAGGAAGAGGATTAAAAAAGGGTTCCTGAAGAGAACAACATTTCAGGCAGGGAGAACTACCAAAAGTATGAATAAGAGATTTCCATAGAAGATTTCAGTTTGGCTGATGTTCTCTGATGTAGTGGGTGAGTTTGGAAGTAGCAGTAAGAAAATAAAGCCAGATGGGTAGATTGGGGTCAGAATATGAAATGATGGTTATGCTATACTTAGATATGGATTTTAAGCTGTAGAAGATGGGAAGCCAGCTAATTACAGCTGAGATTTTGAAATAAGGAAATAGCTCTCTATTGTTTTTAAGGAAATATAAATTTAACAAAAGAAAATGTTCCAGCAGAAAGACATGAAGAGAAAAAAGTAGTAAAAAGTTCTGGCTATTGTGGCTCAGTTAGTTGGAGAGCTGTCCCCTACATCAGAAGGTAGTGGGTTTGATTCCCCGTCAGGGCATATACCAGGTTGTGGATTCAATCCCTGGACAGGGAGAATGAAGGAAGCAACCAATCGATGGATGTTTCTTTCTCACATCAATGTTTCTCTCTCAAAAAAAAAAAAAAAAAGTGAAAAAATCCTTGTAATGTTCTAAATGACAGATAATGATGAGGGCCCTAAGCCAAGGCAGTGGTAGAAGAAGGTACAGATTCTGGAGAAAGTTCTAAGGTAGAATGGTTAGGATTGGTGACTGGTAGATTTCTACTTTGGTATCATCACTAATGGATGAAGATGTGTTTTTCAGGGAAAGAGAAATCATCCCTCATGGTCTGTGTGAAGTCTGAGGACAGAGTGAATGCCATGGTGCATGGTTAAGTCCTCCCCTTCCGCCTGCTTCAGCAATGAGACACTCATCCCCCAGCATCTAGGAGTGTTGGCTGACAGCTCTCATTGGAGTACCTCTATAAGAATTACTTGTACCTTTCAGAGAAGTGAGTTGGCTTGGCCAAGGTTATGTTTCTTCTCCGAGTGCAGGCTACTTATCAGAAAGGCCACCCCTGTAGAGCTCTTATGGGTTCAGCTGAGGTCATTGTTGCAACTGCATTTCAGTTCAACTTCGTGCTCTGACCAATTCTGCTTCCCTCACACATTTATAGGTATTGTTCCTGATATGATAGCCCTTCCTAATAAATCTCTTGCACTCAATTCTATAGTTAGCTTCTTATATGCAAGTTAGCTTCCCATGACAGGTATTGGAAAGTCATTTAGGTATAGATGCCTGGAGGCACCTATATTTGATTCTGGTGGTCAACAAAAAAGATATATAACTAGATAAGAATTTTTTGGGACTAAATGGCACTTGAAAAATTACTGAAACCATAGCAGTAGTTAAGATCACACGGGCAAAAATAATTGATTCCTAGAGAACTCTGATGTTTAAAGGGTGGGTAGGTGAGTCATTAAAAGAGAGAAAGGATTCATCAATGAGGCAAGGGAATTACAAAAGAGCGCCACCAGAGACCAAGGTGGGAGTGGGGAGAGGGAAAATTTGATTTAGACTAAGATGGTCACAATGTCAATAACTGAAGTCAAGTAGAAAGAAAAAGAGGCCAATGAATCTGGCAGTTACACACTCACTGGTGACCTCTGCCAATGTGTAATAGTCAGGGATGAATAGGACGTGATACAGAGGACACTTGAGGCACAGACTACTCTCCAAGAGTGCAGCAATGAAGGAAAGAGAGGTGAGCTTGACAAAATGGCATAGTCAAAGGGTAACTTTTTCTCCATGGAATGAAGGAGATCCAAATATGTTTGAAATGGGGGATATAGGCCAATGTAGAAGGAAAATTTAAAAATATACTAGTGAGAAGTATTGTAATAGAGGATGGTTCCAGAGAAGACTGGACTGAGTGGGATCAAAAACACATATAAAGGAATTACCCTTAAAAGAAATAAAAACATACCTTCTTTGGGACAGAAGGGAAAGCAGGTAATGAAAAACAAAATACTGTATAGCTCAGTGTTGTTCAATAAGGCAGCCACTAACCACATATGGCTACTGACCACTTACTAAAATGTAACTAGTTTAAATTGAGAAGTACTGTAGACACACACCAGCACACCAGATTTCAAATACTTATTATAACAAAAAAAGAATATAGATGGTCTCAAAGATAACTTTTCTATATTGATTATATTTTGAAATATGGATATATCTGGTTAAAATATTAAAATTAATTTACCAATTTCTTTTTATTTTTTAAAATGAGGCTACCAGAAAATTTAAAACTCCACGTGACTTGATTATTTCTATTGAACAGCATTTCGGATGTATATCAAGTAATCTTACTTACTGTGGGAATGCAAATCTTGCTTAAGGGATTTCCATCCAAGAGATATGATCCATTAAATGTCACGTATTCATCATAATACTGAGGTGCTTGAGGAATAACACTACATAACAATTTGCGCTTTTCTTCAATTTTTTTTCTTATGTGCAAATACTCAAAATATGGATTTGCTCTCTCTGAACTGTATGGCTGAATCTCATCTAGTTTCAGAGAATCTACAATGGCTGCCAGAGACTGCTGAGTTTTCTCTTTTGCTTGTAGTAAAGAGGGACTCACTTGCACAGGCTGAGGTACACGTGACACTTTCCTTTTCCGTGGGTGGTGAATTTGAGGATCATCTTCTTCAGTTAATCTTATTCTTCCTCTAGGAGATGAAGACTCACTGTCTTTTTCTGGTAATAATGTACAACTAGCAATAATCTGTTTGCTTTGATTTGCCACTGCATTTGCTCTGTTTCTAGTCATCCTCTGAGAAATTTGGTTTTCAGTTTTATCATCTTCCACATTTTCTTCTAATTCTGCTTTAATTAATTGCCCATATTTATGCATTTCTGGTTGAGTTGGTTGTTGTGAATGGCTTTCCAGACATGATAAAGTGCTTTGTTGTGATTCTTCCTCTTCAATGGAAAGCAAACACTTTTCACTTTCAAGAGAAAGCTTTGGATTATCCTGTTCATTTAGGTTTCCTTTTGGCATTCCTGCATTCATTTCATATAAATCAGAATCACACTTATCATTCAAATGAGTTAAAACTAAACTTTCCAGATTGCTTTCTTTTTCGTGTGAAATAACCTGAATATCAGAAGTGTTATTTTCAACTTCATGGCTATTGGAAGACTTATATATATGTTTGCTAAATGCATAATGTATATTTTGCTGGGAAGAGGAATCACTTCCATTAAAATCCTTCTCTAATGGTAAAAGAGGCAAAGTATTAGCCTTCTCAAAATTTGGTGATGCTTCTTGAACAGAGTTTTCAGAGTACAATGGAACAAAGGTATCTGTCCTTTGGACATCTGTTAGGGGAAAAGTCTTTTCCGTATCTTTTGTAGACTCATTATCAGTATCTAAAACAGTACTGATAACCTGAACTGCATTTTTATGTTGTAAAATATCTGTATCTTGATTGGCAACATATGATGAAGACATATGTTTATCAGTATCTGAAAGCGATTGGCTTTGGAAAGAGCCTGGTTGCTGTGAAGGTAGAAAGGATGGTGCATCCTGAGCACAAGAGTTTGCTGGCAGTTCAGTCTGGTGCAGGCATAAAAAGTCAGTATTCTGTTCTCTTAATATTTTGTTTCCGGAATTACAAAAAACCTGGACAGAAGGATCTTGATCAGATGTACTAGAATTTGGGCCAATGACATCACTGGTGCTTAATGATTCCAATCTATCTACATGTATCTCCCATGATTTATTTTGGATCACACCAACCTGATTAGATGGCTCTAAATGAACAGGACTGTCCATTAAAGTGCCCACTGACGCAGAACTCTTGATGATGTTTATATCAGCTGAAATGTATTTGCTGTTTATAGATCTAGTTGGAGAGGTGGCAAAACTGGAATGTATGTTCGATACATTTGAAAGTTCTCTTTCAGGCACATTAGAGGATACCACAGATTTGGGAGAAGGGCAAATATCTCTTGGCACAGCTAAGCCAACTTGATTGCTTTCTTCTGATGTTGTTTGGAATTGTTTTGTATGTTCACAAATGACAGATGGCATGCTACATCTTCGAACTTCTACAGCTGCTCTCCCCTCATTTATAAGTTTAACATCTTCTACAGAAGATGATCGGACATGGGATGTTGGAAGTCTGCTTGTATATGGTGGTTTAATCCGCTCTGGCAGTTCAGTTATACTATCGAAGTCCTTTTCATGAAATGCAGGAGATTTGGCAATTGGCAGAAAAGGTGACTGGGAAAAGGACATTTGGGAATCTGAACCCTCTAACAAAAAGTCAGAGTCATACTCAACTGGAGGTCTTGGGGTGGTTACTGTAGTATGACAGGAATCTTCTGAACTAGCAACAGAAATCATGGATACAGATCTGGAGCTGAGACCTGGCTTTTCATTCTCTGATCTAGGAGATCTGTTTAAGCTATTATCTGAGACAAAAGATGACTTCCCTAAATTCATTATATTTTTGGTGTCAACAGATTGTGATCTGTTACTTACAGCATCTTTAGATTGTTTCTCCTTGGTATAAGGATCAGTCAACTCTGAACTCTTTGACCTACTAAGTGCTTTATTTTTGGACTCAGCTAGTGTATGCTTTGTTTTTTCTTTATCTTTTACTTTAAGTTCTAAACAGTTACGATTTCTCAACCGTTCCTTTTCTTTTTGCTTTATTTTTTCCTTATGTTTTTTGTGCCACTGCTCTATTTCTAGGTCTTTAAGGCTTAGCATTCGTTCAAAACTTGTCTGCATTAAATCATCATTCACCAACCTCTTTTCCTTAGGTCGAGTATCTTTTGAAGCTGGTGATAACTTAGGTTTGGGCTTATCGACTTCAGATTTTAGTCTGAATAAACTATTCAGTTGAATTTTATCCTTATGTTTGTCTCGTTCTTTGTATCTGTCTATGTCTTTATCTTTTTTATCTTTTTCTTTTCCATCAGTTTTCAAAGATTCATCTTTTGTTTTTTCTTTAAGGGATAAAGTTTTTTCCTGTTGTGCTTTACTGCTGTCTGCTATATTTGACCTCTTCTCTTCCTGAAAGTGTTTGGAGTTACTTGTATTTACACTTTCTTTATCTCTAGATTTTTCCTTTTTATCTATCTCCTTGTCTTTATTTTTGCTTTTTTCTGATTTAGTGTAGTCACTATTATCTGACTGTTTGATTTTTTTCTCCATCATGTGCTTTTCTTTGCTTTCTGCTAGATGCCTCTCTTTTTCAGGTTTGTCTTTGTCATGTCTTCTGTCTGTCTTTTCTCTACTTTTCTCTCTGTCATCAGGTTTTTTAATAGTAATATTTTTTATCTTCTCACCTTCTCTATGACATTTCTCTGTATGATGTGAATATAATTTGTCTTTTTCTTTTATTCTGTCAACACATTCACTAAGATCTAATTTGTCTTTCTCTGACTTATGCTCGTGTTTTATTTTCTTCTCTTTTTCAGAATTTCTTCTTTCAGCTTTCTCAATGTCCTTTTCTTTACTTTGAAATCGTTTATCAGATTTTTCCTTACTGTCTTTTATGTGCTTTTCTTGTTTTTCAATTTCTATTTCCCTTTCCATTGAATGTAACCCTATAGATTCCTCACTGGCACTTATACCTAAAGAACTAACTTCTGTCTCTTTACTGATAGGTATATTCTCTCTTTCTTCTTTTAAATCTTTTATTTTTTCCTCCCTAAATGATTTCTCACTTTCCTTTTTAATCTTTTCTCGTTCTTCTTTAAAGTTCCTCTCTTTTGAGACATGTTTTTCCTTGGTTGATTTATCATCTTTCATGTTTTTTTCCAACTTTGATTTTTTTTCTGTTAGGGAGTCATGTTCCATACTAAAAAATATATCTTCAGTTTCATCACTTTTAAAAAAATTCTCTTTCCAAAATTCTCTATCAAATTCAACACTCCGCTGTTGCTCTTTAACCCCATCCCTATTTTTGTATTTTTCCTTTTCACTTTCAATTTCCTTTTTATGCTTTTCTTTTTCCCTCTCTTTATGTTTCAATTTATGCTTTTTTAATGTTTTACCTTCTTTATCCATTTTTTTCAATGTACAATCTGAGTTTTCAAATGTTGAACTATGGTCTTCATCCTTTATTTTAGCATTTGACTTTTCACCAAATTCTAAGTGGAAATCTTTCTGATGTTTGTTTTTTTCCTTATGCTTACAAGATTTTACACTTGAACTTTCTGGCAAGAATTCTGGTTCTGTATTATCATATCGAACAAGATCAGGCTGTAATGACATTTCAGAACTTCCTGGTGATAAACATGTTTTGGTGTGTTCTTGTTTTAGTGGTGTTGATTGTTTTTCACTTAGTCCACAAGAATGTTTGGGAGATTTACCACTGGAAATATGAAATAAATGTAACGAAGTATCATCTTTAGGGCTAAAAGATTTCCTAAAATTCCCCTCCTCTCTTGTCTTTTCTGAACAATCTACTGTAGTAATTGTCAGGTTTGTTACTCTAGTATTTTCTTTCCCCTCTTTTTCTTGCTTCAGCTCTTGGTTCTCTTTATTTTTGTTCTGGTTCTTTAATTTTCTTTTAACTTTACCTTTCTGTTTGTGCTCATTTGAAACTCCATATTCCTTTTTGGTTTGTGTGTCGGAATTTGATGTTTCAGGTATAGAGCATGAAGCAGAAACCTTTTTGTTCTGAAGAATTTCTTCATCTGAACTTTCAGAACTTGAATACAAAACCCTAGATGGCTTTTGTTTTTTACTTTTAAATGATTTAGGGTAGAAAGCTTTATCCTGTTTTGCAAATAAACTATTTTTTTCTACTTCAGATTCATTCTCTTTTCTGAGCTCTTTCCTAAGAATATGCCTATCATCAATCATTTTATTTATTTCTTCATCATCATCATCTTTGAACTCATACTCATCAAGGGCAGTTGAAAGAGGTGCTTTGGGAATTATTTGTTTACTTTCACAGGTGATAGAGTCTTTCTCTGTCTCAGAGTCAATATTTTCATCAACACTGGAAGGATTTACAGACTGAACCTCTTCAGAATCTAGAATAAGAAGAAAAAAAAAATCTATTGTTGGTTGAAAGACAAATGAAAGAAAAATAAGACAGAAAAAACATAGCATATACAATAAATATTTCAAACAATTAAAAAAATATTTCAGAATTATATGTGAATAATGCAATAAAAACATGTAAGAACTCTGCTACAGTGTCATGGAAAAGCTTTATAGAGAATCTACTTTAGAAGAGGATTCCTTGATACATCTAAAAGTACATGATGTACTGAATTTACAACACATATATCAGAAATATATAATATAAAGCAAGGGACTGGATTTCAAGAAAAATATTGATTACTAATGTTATATAAAAATTTTACATATATTTATTGTTTTTCTGAAAAGGATATTTAACTTAATATTCTTTGATGGAAAACAAACAAAAAAAAGATTAAGAACCACTGATTTAAAGGGTTTAATTATATAAATATCACAGATTGTTTTATGTTTCAGAATTTTTATTAATAAAACCATAAGGTATATCAAGTGATTCCCACAGAGGACAGTTAACTTAAGTAAAAGTGAATAGTTTTGACTATATAAGGAATGACTACCTAGTTTAAAAAAAATTAGAAAAATCAAAAGAACTATATCCCCTAATTATATAATCAAGAATATAATAACAAATGGGTATACCTGAAGAAGACTACTCTATTTCTTAATTGAACCTACAACCCAGGTACATGACCTTGACTGGGAATCAAACCCTCGACCCTTCCTTGTGTGGGCTGACACTCTAACCACTGAATCACATCAGCTGGGGAGGGCACCTTTTCTTAGTTGAAATGTATTTTGCATACATGGGCCTCTGAAAACAAAACCCAGGCTTCTAACTAAAAAAAAATAACAACTGAGGCCTCTGATCAAGGAAAGGAGATACAAAAAATCATCTCAAATATGTTATAAATTTATTTTAATATAGTAAGGTTCCTCTAAAGTGATCTAGCTCTCAAATATTCACTTCACATGAAAATTCAAATTCCAGAAGTATTTCAGAGTGTTTATAAAATTACTGGGCACTACTATAGAGGATCTCTAGAGAAATTACAACCTTGTTTTTGGAGATGTGGTAATGTTGTAAGATAATAATATTATAAAATGACAATGAGTGATATAGTTATACTGACACATAAAAAAAAGAACATTTTTGGGTTTATAATTGCTTGTACATATGTAAAAAAAATTTTCATTCCCAATTACCAATATTGTAATACATAATACCAAACTCTAAAACTTTATGTTGCAAAAAGGAACAACTATTTTCGGAGTATTTATTTTGGTTCTTGATTAAATGAATTAAAAAAAATGTACTTATACAGCAGGTGTTATTTTTTTCTGTTAACATCTTATTTATAATTTGTTCCTAAGGACTTCCCTACTTGCAGTCTTCAAGGATTTAATTCTTATGTTTATATATAACTATTCTATTTATATTCTGTTTCTCATCAACTGAATAGTTTTACTGGAAATTGAGAATAATTTTTTCCTTTTTATATCCCATAAAATATCAGTTCTACACTGAGCATAAGTCTAAATATTAATTATGCTCTGCCAGGCACACAGTGCTAGGAGATAGGGGTGAAAATATGAAAAAAGACCCATACAAAACCCAGTCCTGCCCCTTAACAGTTATATAATCTGCCAATTGCTAAAATCACAGTAGATACTAGGTCCAAAGGGTGTATTTGGGAAAGTCTGCTTGGGAGAACTGGAGAAGGAAATCAGGCTTTTCTAAAAAACACAGCATTGAAACTAAGGTATAAAGGATATATAAAATTTTCAGGTAGAATTTAGGTTATAAACAAGTATCTCAAATCACAGCATGTATACCATTTCATATATTTTTCTTTTCATTTAACAGATCATAGAAATTTTCTTTTAAAGTTACATTTCTTCATTACTATTTTTAAAGGCTGTGTATTACCTTGAATTAATATGTAATCATTTAAACTGATTTTTCTACTGATGGGACATTCAGCTTGCCTCAAATTATTTGATATCATAGATATTTAATAATATAGAAAAATATATAGACTCATGAGGGGCAAAACAAGATTGAACATACAGTGATAATTATTAAAACTGAGTAATATATATATATGGGCTTGTAATACTACTATTTCTACTTTTGCATATATTAGAAGGTTTCTATAATAAAAGTAAAAACATCTGTACAGAATAAAACAAAAACCCTTAAATACATATACTACAGTTTTAAATATAATTTTTCTGAACAAAATCAGGTAAGACACAAAATATTTTCAGGAATAAATTATATGTGAGCATGTATCATTTAATGAAAGATTTTAAATCAGTTAATGGTAGGCTCCATAGCAAAAACAAAAACAAAAAAGCCTCCACCAGCTAGTTTCTTTCATTTTCAGAACCTTTTTGCCCAAGAGAAGTTGCTACACTCAAATATAATGAAGACTCTAGTCTCAGCATACATCAAAACAGGTATCATTAAGTCAAATAAACATAACACTAAATTCACACTGCAGTTACATGCTGACATTAGGGTCATCTGACTCTGAATGTATACAGGTTCTGCCATTAACTCTAGGTTCAAATCTTTGCTCTGTCACTTAATAGGTCAGTAACCTGTTAGGAGGAATTAACTTATAGGGCTATTGTGAGGATTAAATGAACTTACTAATGTAATGTGCCTAGCATATCCTGACAAATACCATAAATGTGATAAATATTAACTCACTGCCTAGAAAAAAAGATAAAAAGTTATCATTAAATTAAAATATTTAAATAAAATGTTTAACATCAAATATTGACATATTCAATAAAGCACACATTAATTTAAAAAAGCCAAAGCTGAATTCCAGAATTTTTCATATTTGCTTAAGTTTGTACCAAAAGATTAAAGACATAAATATTCAAGCTAACTCCAGGCATGTCACTTATTATACGGTTACAATGAAAGTCGGTGGTCCTTTAGACTGAGGGTAGTGGAAAACATCAGTCTTTCAAGTAAACAAAAAGCATATATACAAATATGGACTTTTCATGGAGGGGAAGAGGGAGAGTAATGAGGGGAGAGAAGAAATAGAATGAGCTAAGAAATAATCCTATATAATAAAGAACTAATATGTAAGTGGTCATCATGCCCTCACGCCGGGGCCGGAGGACCTGATGCCCAACCCCGCATCCTGGCACTGGGGCTGGGGGGGCCCAGAGGTTGGGCCAGGGGACCTGAGGCTGCATCCCCTGCCCTGGCGCTGGGGGACCTGAGGCTGAGCCGAGGAATCTGAGGCCAGGCTGCCACCCCCAGCAGGGTTTGACGGGGGACCTGAGGTTGCGTCCTCCGCCCTGCAGTCCCTCCGCCCCGCAGCGTTAGACAAGGGTCGGGCCGGCCGGGTCTGAGTCTCGCACAATTTCAAGGTGCAAGCGGGGACGTGTCTCTGGGTCCCGCGGCACATCCCAGACTCTGACAGGAGGAAGATTTTCATATACATCTTATTTTCTTTAATCTCTGACACTTCTATTATAGAGAAAGGGCAAATAACAATATTAAAATATTTCCTCTAATTAATTCCCTTTTAATGTGCATGATTTCATGTACCGGGCCACTATTTTTCTTATGTTAATGTCTAGTGGAATTTATATTTTTATAAATAAAAGCATTAGTTTTAATTGATGATCACTTGCATAAATTATTTTTTTAGTATTCCTCAAAGAAAGGAGAAGGAAAATGGGAGTGGAGATAGTGAAGAGGGAACACAATTACATAAACTCTACTTCATATGCTAACTGCAATATAATGCCATTATGTAATGATTTAAAGAGTTTCTACAACTTATGTGGAAGAAAATTATCCTTGGCAAAAGCTTAAAATAAACACATTTATGCAAGTCTATAAGTTGTCTTATTTGTCTTTGTATCTAACTTACAGGCCCAAAAAATGACTATGTAAAAATGTTATAAAAAATTTCCCTGATCAGTTAGTATGTAGCAGAGCAAGGTCTTCAAATCCATTTTTTTTTTACTCCAAAATTAGTACTAACAACCATTATATCATATTACTTCTGAGTACATAAAATACACTGAATATAGTTAAGATGAACTATACAAATACCCAGGAAAATGAAGCCATAATTCGTGATCATTCATAAGCCCTCAATAAAAAGCTTTCACTTCTATGTTTGTTTCATGATTAAGAAAACAACTCTGTCACAAAATCTAGGATCTAAAATAAAGCATGGTATTAAAAGAGGTTTACTGTTAGTTTACATATAAAAAAAAAGAAAAAGCAGTAACATAATGCTTTAAACATACCCACCTGAGGTTATAGTTGAAATTCAAACATAAACGTGCTATTTGTCTATTCTTTGCTTGATCTTGAAATACTCACACCTTAGGTACATAATACCTTGATTTATATATTCCATATGTAATGAAATAACATAGAATAAAAACACCGCATTCATAACTATAATGCAGTGCAATATATAGAAAATAAAAAAGTCCAGGAAGGGGAAAATAGGTAGTGGTCAAAGGGTACAAATTTCCAGTGATGAAAAGCTCTGAAGAGATAATGTACAGCATGATGACTATAATTAATAATATTGTATTGTCTATTTGAAAGTTGCAACAGATTTTAACTTGAAGTTACTGAGAAGGGGGGGCCTGTGCACATCCTGTGCCTCAGTTCTCAGAGCTGCTATTACGGTGCTACGCGGTTGCTAAGGCTGAGCCATGGAACAAATGTTACATGGACAAATAGGAACTTTACTTCCTTCCTTGTATTTTTAACCGCCCTCAATTGCATACTTGGAACTAACCAATCCTGTAAAACTAGCCATCAATACTTTATTTGTATGAAAGAATTACTTTTAAGTAACTCCTTTAGCAATGCTTATTCTATTTCCTCCACTAGAGACCCACTGCACGAACAGGCCTTCCTTCACCTGGCTTCACTCCCGGCCACCCGGAACCTGCAAGTCCTCACTCCCAGCCAGAGCACTGCTCCTGT